CTTCTCTCCGCTAGCAACTGCTGGCCAGAGAATCCCTCCTCGTGACCACCCTCTGCCGCCTCCGCCTCCGCTCCTCCTTCCCAGCTCCGTCTCTTAGAGCTTTCTCTGCTAAGAAAGAGCCCCGTCCGTCCCTGGCACTTGGCCTTGGTCTCTTCCCGGCAGGCAGAGGAGGAAAAAGTGAAGCCTGGGATGCTACCTGTCAGCTGCCTTCTCCACCCGGCACCTGCAGACTCTTCTCTGTGAGCTCACGGTGTACAGCCCGGTGGGAAACGTGGAACTAGATGACGGTCAAGTCAGAACCATGAGGTCAGAGGTCAGCAGACAGAACAGGGGCTCAGCCGATGCCTAGCTGTGCCCGACCTGGCTTCCATCCCCAGCCCACGTGGGCTCCCGAGCACTGCCGACTTGGCTGGCGGTCCCTGAGCACCACAGGCTGGCCCCAGGGTCCCCAGCACCGCATCCTAGGGCCCGAACCCTGAAGGGTCAGCTCGACTGTCCGGTGTCAGGGGATCAGCCCCTGCCCAAGCTCTGATGCCCCCAAACTCGCCTTTCTTTCCTGCTCCCAGCCAAGCTCGCCCATCTGGACCAAACCTCCCGGCTGTGTAAAGGTCCTCTCAGCCCTAACTGCATGGCATGGGGTCCCGTGCTGCTCCTGCCCGCGTCAGCCACACAGATACCCAACCCCCGAAACGGAGCAGAATCCACACAGCCACAGCAGGAGCTGAATGAAGGTGGCACAGAGCCTGGCCAACCAACACCAGGCCGGCCCACTTTCTACCAGCGGGACCAGAAATCAAGACACAGAACTCACCCAGGTTTGATCCCTGTCACCCCAGATGGACCCCCTAGTCCCGCCAGGGGTGATTCCAAATTGCAGAGCCAGGAGCAAGTTCCGAGCACAGCTGGGTGTGGCCCAAAAAAACAAAACTGAAAGAGAATTTCTAATCCCGCTGAGAGCTGGCTGTTTGTTTTGAAAAGTTAAGTGTTTGGGGGCGGGTAGGCGGGAGAAGAAAGCACATTTTAAAGCACCAGCCTAGGGGCAAGTAATAAAAAGCTGAGCTTTAATGTTTTTCATAAGAGGGAGAGAGTGGGAAGGCCAGTTCCCTCACACAAGCTGCTGAACAGCTATAAAAGGAGCATCAACACTCAGTGGCATCAACACTCAGTGCATCAACTTTCAGGGGCATCAACACTCAGGGGCGGCAACCCTCAGGGGCATCAGCCCTCAGGGGCATCAACCCTCAGGGGCGTCAACCCTCAGGGGCATCAACCCTCAGGGGCATCAACTCTCAGGGGCATCAACCCTCAGGGGCGTCAACCCTCAGGGGCGTCAACCCTCAGGGGCGTCCACCCTCAGGGGCGTCAACCCTCAGGGGCGTCAACCCTCAGGGGCGTCAACTCTCAGGGGCATCAACTCTCAGGGGCATCAACCCTCAGGGGCATCAACCCTCAGGGGCGTCAACCCTCAGGGGCATCCACTTAGTGGCATCAGTGTTTATGGCACCAACTCTCAGTGGCATCAGCGCTAAACAGCTCGGACGGTGCTGTGGGCCCCCTCTTCGGGTTTCCAGCAGGCTAGCCTCAGTTGACCAAGAAGAAACAGAATCAGCTTCCATTGACCATCTCAACCTCTGCTTCCCTTGTCTGTGAATGACGGAGGATTTGTTTTTGCATTCTCCTCCCTGGGCCACTGCAGGGAGGCAAGGCTTTCCCTTAAGGAAGGCAGAGGTGGCACCCTGCCCCAGAGGGATGCCAGGTGAGCTCAGAAAGGACACTGCTTGGAGGCCCCAGGCGAAAGTCCCCTAGGGCCCCTCCTGCCTGCAGAGGCACTTCCTGTTCCCAATATTACACCTGCCAAGAGTGGGACGGTCTGGACACCCGCAAAAGTCCAGGACATGTAGAGCTTGGATATACCTGCATCAGAAAATAGGGGAAGGGCCAGGAAATTCAAGTTTCCTAACAGGCCCTCTAGTCTCTGTAATTCAGTCTTTCTCGTGAGGTCCCTCTGATGTAGGCAGGTAGACAGGGAAGGCCCCCTCCCGAAGCAATGACAAAAGCCAGCCCTGCAGAAAATAGGAAAACAGAAATTAAGGCTTAATAAGTCCCTCATCTGGCTCCAGCAACAGACCCAAAGGAGCTCCCGCAGGAACAAAAGGCCAGGAAAGGAATTTCAAAGAAGACCATCACCACTCCATCCTCCCTGGTAACCTCCTTAGCAACGGACTTTTACCTGGGAAGAAGCCCCACGTGGGGGCCGGTTGGAGAAACCCTATAAAGGCCACCTTGAACAAAGGAAGCGCGCGCATATGCATATGCTGCTTGAGCCCATGTGCTGCTTGCGCCCATGTGGCCGAGCACATGTGGTTCCCGAGCACGTGTGTCGCCCGCATCTCCCCTCTTGAGATGTGTACTTTCATGCTTTCGTGTCTAACTTTTCTCTCTCTCTCTCTCTCTCCCTCCCTCCATACCTAAAAATCCTCCAAATAAAATCTATTTACTTCACTGCTTGTCTACTCCTGAAATTCCTTTCTGTGAGGCGAGACAAGAACCCAGTAACCCTGGGTCCCGGGCGGCAGAGGCGGTTGGGGAGAAAGTGACCGTCTTTCTCCTCCCTGCTTCACATAAGTCACCCGTGGGGCCCACCGACATCACCTCCATGGTCCCCCTCCTAAAGTCGCACCCAGCACATCCCAGGAGTCACAGGCACCGGGCACCACACCGCACCCTGCTGTAGCATCGCTGCTTCCCTGTCACCTGCGTTTGTGGGAGCTGCCCTGCCTCCAGTTCAATTCTGTACCCCACAGTCCCATGTGCTGGAGAGCAAGGGGGTGGCGTACCCAGGGCAAGCCCCAGCCGAGGAAGGTCACACTGCAACTACAGCAATGCCAGGCTCTTAGGCGGATAAAAGTGGAAACTTACAAGGAGGAACATGAGTCAAAAAGGATGAAGTAGAACAGCAGAGCCTGGCGGGTTCTCAGTACGCATTGCCCGGCCCCCAATATCGGCTCTGTTGTACCCCATGCTCGGATAACACATGGCACTGAAACGGTTCTTTGGGAAAGGAGCCTGAGAAACCTCACAGAAGCTCAGTCCTCTGACACACTGGAAATCACCGCACAGGCCCCAGGGATTCTCTTTCCCTTGACGCATTTAGGTCTCTGTGTTGGACCAATGGGGCATATGCAAAATACCTTCCCAGGACCACACTCCATGACCTCCAACATATCCCTGGAAACCTCCCAGCGGTCCCCACGCAAGTGGCTCACTATGCACAGTTCCAAAATGCTAGAATTTGTGATAAGGCATCTCAGACGCACGCAAACGCAGAGCAATACCATTCCCTACCTTGACTATGGGCTGGAGCGATAGCACAGCAGTAGGGCGTTCGCCTTGCATGCAGCCAACATGGCCGACCCGAGTTCGATTCCTCCGCCCCTCTCGGAGAGCCCGGCAAGCTACCGAGAGTATCTCGCCCGCACGGCAGAGCCTGGCAAGCTCCCCGTGACGTATTCGATATGCCAGACACAGTAACAACAAAGTCTCCAATGGAGACGTTACTGGGCCCGCTCGAGCAAATCGATGAACAACGGGAGGACAGTGACCGACAGTGACAGTGACCTAGACTGCAAGGAATGGCCTGCTGGGCTGGTAGGTGCTGGGAGCTGAGGTGAAGGGGCTGGGAACCGGTGCCGACTATGCAGAATGGAATCCCACCTCCTTTCTCCCCCACGGTCTACAGCTAGGACCCGCCTTGGGACTCCCAGCTGCTTCTAGAGCAGACACAGAGGGCAATGAGGAATGAGGAATGAGCTGCCACACGCAGGAAAGACAGCAGGCCAGGATAGAGCTGCCCCCCAGGCAGGCGCCTGCATTAAGCCCTTCCTGAGCTCCAACTCTGAAGGACCTACAGAGCTCCCTGCCTCACTGCGAAGATGGGGAAGCTGAGCCCCAGAGAGTCCCGGACCTGAGTCCGCAGCTCTGGGAGGCCGGGGATGGATTCAAGTCGCTGCAACTTGCACCCTTCCCAAGTGCCCGGCCACCAGTGCCCCCGCCCCCAACTCCCACCACCTCCAGTCTCAAAAGAAACAGACCTGGTTCCTCAGGTCCCTGAACTCAGGAGCAATGTTTGCTCCTCGCACGGAAGTGGCTCACAGTACACAGAACACGGATCCTGGTTCTGCCCGGCCACTTCCCTGGCTCTTCCAGACACACCGGCTGTGTTACCCAGACATGGGTTTGCCAATCTAAAGCAATAAGCAAACCACATACAAGGAAAACTCCCCGCAACGCATGCCAGGGGTCGTCACTACTTTAACAGCAGCTCAGGAGTCCAGCAAAAGGCCCCTAAGAAGGAGCTGAGCTTAGACCCCATGGCCAAGTCTAAAAGCTAGCGGGCATCCCGACAACCCCCCCCACACACACACCTGGCACCCCGGGGCCTTGCTAAACCCAGGTGGTTCCTCACTGCCCCACAGTTCCCAGGACTGGTCCAGGCACCCCGCTGTGTAGACTTGGCCCAGGAAGACTTAGATTCTCTGTCTTCACACCAACATCCCTAAAATGGGCCACACTGCTCCCTTCCCGAGACTGGCCCAAGTTATTTTAATGAACAGTTTATTCTCTCCAAACGATGGGCCCAGAACAGTCCATCGTGGACTTCTGGTCCTCCTTACGTGGCTGGCTTCCAGCCCTTCATCGACCCCTTGCTTTCTCCCCAGACTGGGTCCACAGCCCCGACTCCCCGCCCCCGGACAGGCCAGAGAAGGGAGACGTCCTCCCCCGGTGAGAGCGAGCGCGGCCCAGCCGGCCGGTCCCTCTCTGGAGGCCTCCAGCTGCCCGGCTGACCAGTGCCCACGCACAGGCCCCGCGGAAGGCGCTCACAGTGCGGGGGAGGCGCCTGGGGGTCGCCCTGCCCCAGTCCCGTTAGTCCCCCCGCTGCGCTGCCTGCCGGGGTGGGGGCACCGCCGGGGGACCCCGCCCCACCCGGGCCGCGGACGCACCTGTCGGGCGGCGCGGGAGGCCGGAGCCCGGCTCGGAGGAGGCGCCGCCCGTGCGCGGCGGGAGGCGGGATCCGCGGGCGCGGGGCGGGGACCTGCGGGCCGGCTGGGATCTACTGGGTCCTGGGTCCGGATCGGATCGCGGGCGGGGCCGGGCCGGGCCGGGCCGGGCCGGGCCGAGTCGGGGAGCGGCAGGCGGGGCGGGATCTGCTGGCCGGGCCAGGGGTCGATCGGGTCGAGGGTGCGGATCGCGGGAGGGGCGGGGCGGGATCCGCGGGGCGGGGATCTACTGGGTCGAGGCTCTGGATCGCGCGCGCCGGGACGGGGCAGGCCAGGGGAATCTACTAGCCGGGCTGGGATCTGCTGACCCGGCTGAGGATCGGCAGGGTTGAGGGTCCCGATCGCGGGCGGGGGCTCGATCCGCTGGCCGGGACGGGATCTGCCGTGGGACCCGGTGTCGGGGAGGGGCGGGCTGCCTGGTTGGGGCTCCGGATCGCGGCGGGCACGGGCAGGGAGGGATCCGCGGGAGGGATCCGCTGGAGGGATCCGCTGGAGGGATCCTCTGGCCGGGCGGGGATCGGCTGGGTTCGGGCCCCTGATCCCCGGCTGGAGGCAGGGAGGTGGGTCGGGGATCTACTGGGTCTCTGGGGGGGTCGGACCAATGCGGCTTGGGGATCCACCGGGTGGGGGCTACAGCTGGGGCGCTGGGGCAGGGCTGGGACGTGGTTCTGGATCCTGGGCGGGTGAAGGGGCTGAGGATCTATTGGGTCCAGGGATCTGCTGATGCTGGGCTCCGGATTCCGGGCTGGGGACCCGCGAGGCAGGACCTGGGCTCTGTGTTCGGAGGCTGGTAGGAACCCGGGCCTCCCGGCTTTTGGTCCTTTGCTCCCTGACGCTCTGTTCTTCTCTAGACCAAGTGCAGAGGGAGGCTGGGGACACAGTGACTGTGCTTCTGTCCATGGGCAAGGCCAGGGGCCCACTAGTGGGAACAGTGTGTGACATGGGCGGATGCCCCTGCTGAGGGCAGCCTGGAGGAGGCTTGAGTGTCCCTGGGTGCTTGCCCCAGACTTGGCTTGGTTATAGCGGCTGAAGGAGGGACACTGAGGTCACCCAAGTGACCTCCTCGGTGCCCCAGGCCAGTGGGGGAGATGGACAAGGCCTGCCCAGGAGGGGGCGAAGGTAGAGATGGGACTGAAAGACGGCAGGAAGATTCTGGTGGGCTGGGGCACAACCCCTGAGCCGCCCAGCACACATGGGCGGTGCCAGGTGTCCCACCCCCACTATCCTGAAGTTTCCTGATTCCCTGGGGGTAGGGGATGGTCTGGGCAGAGGGCAGGGAAAAACAGACCAGCTGGACTTAGCCAGCTCCTGGCCCCGTAGTGCTCACGTCAGAGGAAGAGGGCCCATGCTCCTATCTGGTGACCCATGTCCAGGGCCAGCAGTCCACATGCATGGCTGGACACCGAGTGGGTCTCACCACATCAGTGTCTCACGGGCAGTGAGTCTGGATGCCTGGGACGAACTAATCACCAGCAGCCACCTCTGTGGGCTACACGCCCTAACCCGCCCTCAGGCCCACTGGGGGAATAGGCTTGAATTGAACATGCTCGCTGCAGAGAAAGGGCAAGACTGCGCCAGCTGCATCCGAACACGTGGGGTCGCCGCAACTTTGAAGTGCCAGCCGACTCTCCCTACCCACGGCTGTCAAGGCCTGACCTTGGCGGGTCCCCTCAGCTCTGCCCGCCCTTCTCACAGCTGGGTTCCCTCCCCAACCCCCAAATCCTTCTTGCTGCCTTTTCCAGGAAAACCTTCCTGTACTGGTCAAAGAGCCTCTCGGGCACTGCCAATACTTCTCAGGTGCTCAGGGGACAGTGCATACGGTGGTCATAAATTGTCCACACCCACTTTACTAGGTGATGAACAACAGGTGTGTTACACAGGGGCCGTTTTTCATTGGCTCTGTCAGCTGTGCCATGCCAGGAGAACTCACTGGCCCTCGATGGTGAGGTGGTACCTGATATGGAAGAGGCCGTGAGCAAGCGCCACCAAACCAAGAAAGCAATTGGTGACCTGGGGTTGGAATGAGAACATAGTGGGGAGTGCCTGGCCTTGCACACAGACAACCTGGGTTCAATCCTTGGCACTCCATATGATTCCCCCGAGCCCACCAGGAGTGAGCCCTGAGCACAGAGTCAGGAGCAAGCCCTGAGCTCTGCTGTAAAAAACTATGCACGCAGAAGGTTGTGTGTTCGCGGGCTCTCTGGACGGCTCTATCTCACCGCCTGTGTTCGGTGCCCTAGAGCCGCTGTGTGTGGCCTGCATCGGGACGGCTGTTGGCCAAGGGCAGATGAAGGAAGAGATGAGGGCCAGACTGGTTGATCTTAGTGGCAGTTTATTACAAGGAAGTTTATCCCATAGAAGAATTTATGTTATGGAGGGCCTAGGTTCTCTCAAGCACAAGTTCCCCTTGCTAGTCTCTCGGTAGTCCAACTTTCAGCCCTGCTCTCTCCTTCTCCAGCTGCCCTCTAGTCTGGGCTGACACTCCACCCAGTCAGGTAGCCAAATCAACATAAGAAAGCCCTTCCTGACTGCCCAAGGGCAAGATACCTCTTAAGGTGTTTTTCTCTTTTCCTCAGTCCAATAAACTATCAACTACTCCTGAGGTTATGCAGGAAGGACAGAACAGTGTTATCCTACCCTCTGCCTGGGATGCCCCTCCAAAAAGCGAAAGGAAAAGAAATCAGAAACTGTAAGAGGGCACAATGTCAGCTGGTAATTGTTTACCAATTAGATTTGAAAACCAACCAACCAACCCACCAACAAAAAACAGCATGCAGGCCTCCCTGGTTTGATCCCCAGAGCCGACATGTGGTCCCCACCAAGCACTCCCCGAAGTCGCTCATAAACACAGAAGAAGGAGGTCCTCCTGAGTACACCTAGGTATGACCCAACAAACAAAACAAAAATACACGAACAATAACACCGTTGTAAGCACATGACCTGAAATGGAATGATTTTTAAGTAAAATGAAATGATGGATTTGCTTCAGATCTTCCCCTCCAGAAGAAAAACCTACCTGGGAAAGTGCCTCATCCTGAGGGAAAAATATTTCAGCTCTTTCCTTCAGGTTCCTCAGATGCCCGGACCCTCTCTCTCAGGGATGCATTTCTTGAATGGCAGATGGATATTTAACAGCCAGTGTCATACATACATACGTGTGTGTGTGTGTGTGTGTGTGTGTGTGCGTGTGTGTGTGTGTGTTTGGGCCACCACCCAGCTGTGTTGAGGGCCTACTCCTGGCTCTGTGCTCAGGGAGGAACATCCCTGGCACGGCTCAGAGGATGTTACATGGTGCTGGGTATTGGATCAAAGTTAGCCATATACAAGGCGAGTGCCATACTCACTGTCTTATCTCTCCAGTCCGACAGGTGTGTTTAATAGCCACAGATCAAATTATGATACATTATATTTCACTAAATTAGGTACTGTCCATAATTGCAACGATAATTCAGAGGAGTAAGACAGCACAAAAGCGTATAACAGAAAATGTGATAAGCTTGCAATGGAATTTGTGTATATGTGTGTGTGTTTACCATCAACTAATGATAATGTTTATTGACATGGAAATGGTTCCCGGTTTGAAAAATGCAGGAGCACCAGCTGGAAGGGCAGGAAATCGAGGCTCAGGGACGAACAATGGTGATCACACAGGAGGAGCCGCTCTTCCCCGGCCAAGCTGTGAGTCTGAACTAGGGGGGACCCTCACTGCCAAGGCAGGGCCCCTGGCCACTGACCAACAACACTGTGCCAAGCGCTCTGTGCCAAGCCCCCACGGCACCCTGCATGGAGACCCCTGGTGTGCCTCCTTGGAAAAGCTGGAGCGATAGCACAGCCGGTAGGGCATTCGCCTTGCACGCGACCAACCCGGGTTCAATTCTTCCATCCCTCTCGAAAAGCCTGGCAAGCTACCAAGAGTATCCCGCCTGCACAGCAGAACCTGGCAAGCTGCCCATGGCGTATTCAATGTGCCAAAAACAGTAACGACAATGAAGACGTTACTGGAGCTCGCTCGAGCAAATTGATGAACAACGGGAGGACCGTGGTACAGTGCTGCATCTACCCTTATGCCTCCTTGTTGAGTGAGTGATTGGCTGAGTCTCTTCCATCTGTTCTGTGGGTGTTGATCTCAGCACACATTCCTCAGGTGTTGTGCTTCTTTCTCTTTCTTCTACACTTCTATTTTTCTAATTACTGATATTTCGACGGGCTGGAGCGATAGCACAGCGGTAGGGCGTTTGCCTTGCATGCAGCCAGCCTGGCCGAGCCGGGTTCGATTCCTCCGCCCCTCTCGGAGAGCCCGGCAAGCTACCGAGAGTATCTCGCCCACACGGCAGAGCCTGGCAAGCTCCCCGTGACGTACTCGATATGCCAGACACAGTAACAACAAAGTCTCCAATAGAGACGTTACTGGGCCCGCTCGAGCAAATCGATGATCAACGGGAGGACAGCGACAAAGTGACAGTGACAGTGATATTTCGATAAAATGGTTATTATAGTTATTATAGGCTTTCATGGAGCTGATGACCAGAGTTGCTTTCACCACCACCATTGTGCGCAAGACCTTCCACCACTGTCTTTGCCACCCCTAGCCCACCTTCTTCCTCCCCCAGAGCCCCTCACTGCTTTGTAATCTCAGTTTTGCAGTCAGAGCTTTGATATTGTCCATTCCCTTCTTCTGTTGCTCTTTGATTCCACAAATGAGTGAGGTGGTCTGGGATTTGTCCTTCCTCCTCTGACTTACTTCACTTAACAAGATGCCTTCCAGTTTCAATGAAATGGCAGCAAACAGAGACATTTCATCCTTCCTTATAGTTGCATAATATTCCCTGGTATAGACACATCACTACTTGCTATCCATTCACCTGTCACTGGACGTTTGTTTTGTTTCCATTTCCTGATTATTATACTTAGTGCCTCAATGAACATGGGTATAAAATACTTCCTTTGGAATTAAATGTTTT